CGGCCCGCTCCCTCCTGTCAGCCCGGCCGCTCCGCTCGGCGCTCAGCCGCCGCCGCGTGTTATTTGTCGCCCCGCTAGAGCCGCTCTGTTTTATACAAATCTATATAAAATACAAACCCAGCAGAGAAGAGTTAATTTTAAAAGAAAGGTTCGTATAAATATATATTACAGAGAGGATTATTTTTCCTAATCTTTTCTTTTTTTTTTTTTTTTTTTACCTCAGCAAATCAAACAGCCTCCGCTCTGGAGAACTGGGGCTAAATTAAGACTCTTAAAGTAAAATAAGGGACGGGGTTGTAGGCAGATCGAGGAGGGTTCTGCCCCAGAGCTGACGGGAGAAACGCTTGGGAGCTGGTGTATGAATTTTGGCTTCGTATCCGAGCCCCGCTCTCCTGGAGGTTTAACTTTGGTTTTTTGCGTATTTCCAGGCCTCTCCCCACCCTCAGCCGCTCTGTCCCAGGGCCTGGGGTGTCCCCTGGTCCCCGTCCCCCCCCGCGCCCTCCCTCCGCTCACCGGCCCCTTCTCCCACGCTGTTTCTGCAGACCCCTGCTTAGTGAGGCTTTTAAAAAAGATTTTTGAGTTTTCCCCCAGTTTAAATATTTATGAAAAGCTTGACTTAAAGAAGCCCCAAGAATAAAAGCCTCTTAGTTCCTGGTGGGAGCGCGTGCTGGGTGGAAGATGAACACAGCTGCCAGCAGTTACCCGATGGCATCGCTGTACGTGGGTGACCTGCACCCCGATGTCACCGAGGCCATGCTCTATGAGAAGTTCAGCCCCGCTGGGCCCGTTCTCTCGATTCGGGTCTGCAGAGATATGATCACCCGCCGGTCCCTCGGGTACGCCTACGTCAACTTCCAGCAGCCAGCAGATGGTAAGTGACACATGCAAGCACATCTACGGCTTTTTTTCTTCACTTTTCTCACTTTTTTTTCCCCCACTAATCCACACTGCTGTTGTGTATTGCCATGCAGCTGCCTACTAAAATGTTACCGGGTAAGTAATCACTTGCGATGGGAGCTGGAGTGTTTTTTACTGCTTGGTGTCTACAAAATACTCTGCAAATGCACATGTTGGTAACACCTCTGATAGACAGACCTATTTCTCTCGTACTGATATTAAACTTTGGAGACTTGGGTTTGTTCCAGCTCGCGTAAGAGAATAATCTCCACTGTGTTCCCTTTCATTTCTGTGTAGGTTTGGGCTGTTTGTGTGGGTCTTCATACAGTCAGTCCTAGCAGAAAAAGTTCATAGTCGTCAGCCCTGGTTGAATGCTCAGTTTGACTGGCTGAGCCTCTGGCTGCCCACTCACTACAATTTAATATTTGGGAGATCTGGTGGTTGCTGTGTTTGTGCAAGCAGTCTGATGGGTCTCCCAGTCTGGGAAGTGGTGTTCTTGTTTTAATGGGAAAGAAGATGCATTGCTCAATGTACAGGAAAACAGGTTGTCTCACAGGCAGAAGTCAGGTTGATTTGCTCTTACCAGACTTTTTTTTTTCATATTTTAGTTTGGCTCCTGCACAAGTAGGTATTCCAGAACTGAAGCAGCAGTAGCATGTGAAAGATGGGACAGAAGAGGTCATTTTGGAACACGCCTTTTCTGGAAGAAAAATGGGTCAGCATTTTCTGCCCTAGTTTTCAGAGCCTTTGCTTGTTGACTGGTGCGAGTTTATCTCTCTGAGCTGTGATTTAGCAGCATCTATATGAGATAAGAGACATCCAAAGGATAGCGGAGAGCGAACTTTTCCCTTGAATTCAGAATCAATTCACAACAGCACAGGCTTCAGCAGCAAGTCAACTTTCCTTCAGCCTGTTGTAGGTTATCCCACTTTCTGTTTTTACAGACAGCAGAGTGGTCTGTTTGCACAAGGTAGTGTATTGACTTGGGATCAAAGTGTTTGTTGTGTGGAAAACAAAAATGTTATTACAAAACTGTATTCCTGGAAGCTAGGAGAGCCTCTGGGATTGAGCTCTTGGCTGGAATGTCTGGATTTTACATAGTCTGTTGTGACTATGTGCCATCCTAGCTTCCATCCTCTCCCAGGTCGAAGCACCTTCTGCATGTCCTTCCCTTGGGGTGCTGACTGATCTGATCGAGCACTTCTGATCCTCTAGCCTCTTGCTAAGCTGATAAAAAGCTGTCATGCACCCCAGTGCATAATTTCTCATTCATGAAACTCTGAGAAGTGCTTTTTGTGCAGGCTAAACAATGTATTTGTGTGGTTTAAAACTTCCCAATGAGAAGGAAAGAACCTGAGAGCTTGTGTATGTGGTCCTTTCCTGCTCTGATGAACCTGTCTACTCTGACTCCTTATAAAACCATCTTGATATGTTCATGTGCTGCACAAGCAAAGGTACAGTTATCCAGGGTCACCTCCCTTTGTCTAGGCTATGATCTCATTTTTTAGGGTAAGAGAAATAAAAGCAAGCAGCAGAAATAAAGCCAGGAAGGAACTCAGAGCTCGGATTAGATAAATGTTGGGAAGATGGGGTGCAAAAGTATAGACAAAGTTCTCTTAAAGCAGAGAAGACCTGTATAATATGTGCAGTTCTGATGTTAAAAGGGAAGAGTGGCTAGTCACATGTGCTTGCTTTAGCAGAAAGAAGTTCTGCACCTCCTAGTTCTGCACAAAGACGGGTGGCCTTCCAGTATATTTCAAGGTAATCTTTTATGGTAATAAATAGGCAGGAATTTAGAGGGAGGTTGCATCATTCCGGGCTCCTGGTAAGGCAGCAGACATTTTAGGAAGTCCCAGTACTTCAAGTGATACTTTGACAAAGTAAGTGGTGTCTTGTTACTGGTAGGTCTTAGAAGGTCAAGTGATTTAAACCTAATCATTGAGTTAATATCGGGAAGGAGAAATATTCAAACTCCTGCCCTCGTGAAGAGATCTCTTCTGAACTGCTCCTCATGTCTTCTGTTTGGCAAACCGCAGCATGTGTTACTTTGCAGAAGTAAAAAACAGCTGCTGTACTAAATGTAATGCAGCAAGAACACAAACAGATAATTTTGGAAAGGTGAGCCCATTGGTGGTGTGTTGCAGGCTCTCCGAAACAAAGACCTGAATATGAAGAATATAATTCTTACTGTCAAATGCAGAAATTTGGCTTTTGTTTTCAAGGTGGCAGTACTTGCTACTGCCTGCATGAGAGCTTTCTGAAAGGAGGGATCTGCATTTTTGTCCAGGAACGCATAATCAGAAATGTATTCGGACTTCATTTTACTAAATCTGTGAAAAGATGGGGGGGGTGTGTGTGTGTTCTGTAGCACTGTAGGGATCTGTTTTGATTTATCTGTGATAGTAGATGCTACAAAATACCACGTAAAAGTCACCAGGAAGATTTATGCTCTGAAAACTTTTCAGGAGGTTCCTGTGGACACGTTGTTAGTATGCTTGAAGTGGCAGTAGATATTAAAGAAGTTGATCTATGATCGTTTGTTTTTTCTCCAGCACCTTTTGTGGAAGGCTGAGTGCTTTGTAAATCTGAAGAAAACAATGTTTTAACTCTTTTTGTGTGGGAAATAAGACTCTGTCCATATGACTAGAGAAAGACCACAGAGCAAGTCAAGTAGCCAGAACTCTTCCCCATTATGTGGGGCCGTCAGGAGATCGTGCTGTCACGTCCTGAATATGCTCTGTACTTCCAGAGTTTGTGTCCAGACTGATTCAAAGCTTGTGTTTTTCTTTACATTGGCGTTAGCTAATGGAGTGGTGCTTGACCCTGGAAGGGGTTACTGTCTGGACATGCATTGTCTAACTGGTAGTTTGCTGCAGAGAGGTTATTTTTAGTGAAAATAAGCTCTGTTGTTTTCGATTGCAGTTCTTTGGCCTAGTAACCAGCGGGTGCTGAATACAGAATCTGTCATACTGTGACAGGCAGATTAAGAAAATGCTTCAAAGTTCTGGCTAGTTCAGGCTCGGCTGTAGTCATTAATATTTATTCTTATTAACTGTGAAGAAGGGAAAGAAAACAAACTCATTTCATTTGAAAGAAAAGGTGAATTTCCTTTTTCATGTGTTCCTCATGCAATTTAATTACATTCCAGGGTTTCATAACATTGACAAGAGTCATGAATGACAGCTTGGATAATGAAGCAGAAGAACTTTTAATATGGCTATAGAGATAAGCTGTTCTGGAAGTACAGAGAAAACAGACCATTTCCCAAGCCAAGAAGGGGCCCTGAGCTGGGATTAGATAAGTCTCTGAAGAAAAGTGTAGAAGAGTATAGATAAACTTTTTGTCTCTTCTGTTCCTTAAAGGAGAGAAGACAATGTAAGAGAAGACCTATGTAATGTAAATGCAGGTGTGAAGGTAAAAGGGAAGAGTGATTATATATGCTTCATTGCCAACAGCATTTTGTTCTAACTTCAGCAATCAAGGGATTTAAATCTGTTCTGTATGCAACCTCTCTTTTTTTTTTTTTTTAAAAAAAGTGGTTAAATTTGAGATTGGGACTTTGTTCTTCTATTCCTGTTTCAACTATTTTGCAGTGTGGTTATTAAAAAAAAAAAAAAAAAAACGCCCCCACACCCCTCAGGTTTGTTCCAGCTCGCGTAAGAGAATAATCTCCACTGTGTTCCCTTTCATTTCTGTGTAGGTTTGGGCTGTTTGTGTGGGTCTTCATACAGTCAGTCCTAGCAGAAAAAGTTCATAGTCGTCAGCCCTGGTTGAATGCTCAGTTTGACTGGCTGAGCCTCTGGCTGCCCACTCACTACAATTTAATATTTGGGAGATCTGGTGGTTGCTGTGTTTGTGCAAGCAGTCTGATGGGTCTCCCAGTCTGGGAAGTGGTGTTCTTGTTTTAATGGGAAAGAAGATGCATTGCTCAATGTACAGGAAAACAGGTTGTCTCACAGGCAGAAGTCAGGTTGATTTGCTCTTACCAGACTTTTTTTTTTCATATTTTAGTTTGGCTCCTGCACAAGTAGGTATTCCAGAACTGAAGCAGCAGTAGCATGTGAAAGATGGGACAGAAGAGGTCATTTTGGAACACGCCTTTTCTGGAAGAAAAATGGGTCAGCATTTTCTGCCCTAGTTTTCAGAGCCTTTGCTTGTTGACTGGTGCGAGTTTATCTCTCTGAGCTGTGATTTAGCAGCATCTATATGAGATAAGAGACATCCAAAGGATAGCGGAGAGCGAACTTTTCCCTTGAATTCAGAATCAATTCACAACAGCACAGGCTTCAGCAGCAAGTCAACTTTCCTTCAGCCTGTTGTAGGTTATCCCACTTTCTGTTTTTACAGACAGCAGAGTGGTCTGTTTGCACAAGGTAGTGTATTGACTTGGGATCAAAGTGTTTGTTGTGTGGAAAACAAAAATGTTATTACAAAACTGTATTCCTGGAAGCTAGGAGAGCCTCTGGGATTGAGCTCTTGGCTGGAATGTCTGGATTTTACATAGTCTGTTGTGACTATGTGCCATCCTAGCTTCCATCCTCTCCCAGGTCGAAGCACCTTCTGCATGTCCTTCCCTTGGGGTGCTGACTGATCTGATCGAGCACTTCTGATCCTCTAGCCTCTTGCTAAGCTGATAAAAAGCTGTCATGCACCCCAGTGCATAATTTCTCATTCATGAAACTCTGAGAAGTGCTTTTTGTGCAGGCTAAACAATGTATTTGTGTGGTTTAAAACTTCCCAATGAGAAGGAAAGAACCTGAGAGCTTGTGTATGTGGTCCTTTCCTGCTCTGATGAACCTGTCTACTCTGACTCCTTATAAAACCATCTTGATATGTTCATGTGCTGCACAAGCAAAGGTACAGTTATCCAGGGTCACCTCCCTTTGTCTAGGCTATGATCTCATTTTTTAGGGTAAGAGAAATAAAAGCAAGCAGCAGAAATAAAGCCAGGAAGGAACTCAGAGCTCGGATTAGATAAATGTTGGGAAGATGGGGTGCAAAAGTATAGACAAAGTTCTCTTAAAGCAGAGAAGACCTGTATAATATGTGCAGTTCTGATGTTAAAAGGGAAGAGTGGCTAGTCACATGTGCTTGCTTTAGCAGAAAGAAGTTCTGCACCTCCTAGTTCTGCACAAAGACGGGTGGCCTTCCAGTATATTTCAAGGTAATCTTTTATGGTAATAAATAGGCAGGAATTTAGAGGGAGGTTGCATCATTCCGGGCTCCTGGTAAGGCAGCAGACATTTTAGGAAGTCCCAGTACTTCAAGTGATACTTTGACAAAGTAAGTGGTGTCTTGTTACTGGTAGGTCTTAGAAGGTCAAGTGATTTAAACCTAATCATTGAGTTAATATCGGGAAGGAGAAATATTCAAACTCCTGCCCTCGTGAAGAGATCTCTTCTGAACTGCTCCTCATGTCTTCTGTTTGGCAAACCGCAGCATGTGTTACTTTGCAGAAGTAAAAAACAGCTGCTGTACTAAATGTAATGCAGCAAGAACACAAACAGATAATTTTGGAAAGGTGAGCCCATTGGTGGTGTGTTGCAGGCTCTCCGAAACAAAGACCTGAATATGAAGAATATAATTCTTACTGTCAAATGCAGAAATTTGGCTTTTGTTTTCAAGGTGGCAGTACTTGCTACTGCCTGCATGAGAGCTTTCTGAAAGGAGGGATCTGCATTTTTGTCCAGGAACGCATAATCAGAAATGTATTCGGACTTCATTTTACTAAATCTGTGAAAAGATGGGGGGGGTGTGTGTGTGTTCTGTAGCACTGTAGGGATCTGTTTTGATTTATCTGTGATAGTAGATGCTACAAAATACCACGTAAAAGTCACCAGGAAGATTTATGCTCTGAAAACTTTTCAGGAGGTTCCTGTGGACACGTTGTTAGTATGCTTGAAGTGGCAGTAGATATTAAAGAAGTTGATCTATGATCGTTTGTTTTTTCTCCGGCACCTTTTGTGGAAGGCTGAGTGCTTTGTAAATCTGAAGAAAACAATGTTTTAACTCTTTTTGTGTGGGAAATAAGACTCTGTCCATATGACTAGAGAAAGACCACAGAGCAAGTCAAGTAGCCAGAACTCTTCCCCATTATGTGGGGCCGTCAGGAGATCGTGCTGTCACGTCCTGAATATGCTCTGTACTTCCAGAGTTTGTGTCCAGACTGATTCAAAGCTTGTGTTTTTCTTTACATTGGCGTTAGCTAATGGAGTGGTGCTTGACCCTGGAAGGGGTTACTGTCTGGACATGCATTGTCTAACTGGTAGTTTGCTGCAGAGAGGTTATTTTTAGTGAAAATAAGCTCTGTTGTTTTCGATTGCAGTTCTTTGGCCTAGTAACCAGCGGGTGCTGAATACAGAATCTGTCATACTGTGACAGGCAGATTAAGAAAATGCTTCAAAGTTCTGGCTAGTTCAGGCTCGGCTGTAGTCATTAATATTTATTCTTATTAACTGTGAAGAAGGGAAAGAAAACAAACTCATTTCATTTGAAAGAAAAGGTGAATTTCCTTTTTCATGTGTTCCTCATGCAATTTAATTACATTCCAGGGTTTCATAACATTGACAAGAGTCATGAATGACAGCTTGGATAATGAAGCAGAAGAACTTTTAATATGGCTATAGAGATAAGCTGTTCTGGAAGTACAGAGAAAACAGACCATTTCCCAAGCCAAGAAGGGGCCCTGAGCTGGGATTAGATAAGTCTCTGAAGAAAAGTGTAGAAGAGTATAGATAAACTTTTTGTCTCTTCTGTTCCTTAAAGGAGAGAAGACAATGTAAGAGAAGACCTATGTAATGTAAATGCAGGTGTGAAGGTAAAAGGGAAGAGTGATTATATATGCTTCATTGCCAACAGCATTTTGTTCTAACTTCAGCAATCAAGGGATTTAAATCTGTTCTGTATGCAACCTCTCTTTTTTTTTTTTTTTAAAAAAAGTGGTTAAATTTGTGCTATGTTATTTTGTTGTTGGGTCTTTTTTGCTTAGTGATGTGAGAGCCTGGAGGTTTGCAGGGCAGCCATCTTTGCAGAATAAAACTCCTTGTGCAGAGTTTCTCATGGGTGAATCTTGGTGTGTGTGTGTGGTTATCTCTGTTTATGCCGCTCAACCACAGTTGCTAATTCTAGCATTGTGTTAGCTCTGTGTCAGGGAGCCTGTAAGGGAGATTAATTACTTTGAGGCCTAAGGCGAGCTGCAAGGAGTGTTCGTATGCTTTCCCTATCCAGAAGGCTGTGAAAGAGGAATGAAAAGGAAGCCTGAAAGGGGTTAAGAGTGTGTATAATGTTATATATGAGTTGCAGTTGCGTCTGCTGGAAGGATGACAGGAACCAGTGGGAGAGAAACAGATACAGGAACTGAAATAGCTGAAGCTTTGTGGCTTAAAAAGAAGAAAATGAGAAGGTGTTTGCTCAGATTAAGGAAATGAAGGAGGTGTGCCTAGTCAGTCATTCACATAACTGATGCTGATCCTTTACAGGTTTTCTTAGGTACTGGTGCAATGTGATTGCATTTCCACCTGTGGGTATGGCTGATCTTCAGCAAATCAGGGAATCCATCTAGGGCTTGCTTGTACTACTGCTCACAAGAAGTGTCTGAGTGAATTTCCAGCAGAGTATAAGAATAGAGTGGAATACTAGCAAGCTGTTGAAAGAGCAGTGCAATAGTATCTGCTTAAGTATGTGCTTAGGAAGCTTGAAGGAGCTGGGAGTAAGTTCATAACTAGCCTATATCTCGGTAGCTGCTGCAGAGCGTTTCGCAGTTCCCTCTGGTTGCATGCCACTGCTTGTCACCTTTCAGCAGAAGCCCTGTTTCTGCTGCAAATGGTATATGCAACTAGTTTGTGTCCTTGCCAACACATAGTTCTGGAGGACCTCTCCCTGCTATAAATAAACACTGCCAAATTTGACAAGCTGGACCAAGTTGCCTGCTGAAGTGCCTACTAGGAATGGACTGCAGGAAGAACCTCAGCTGTATTGATTCAGAGTAGCAGCTGAGGAATCATTTTAGCATGGCAGTTAATTGCATTTAATACCTTTGACTAAACAGAGATGATAGAGTTGTAGCAAGTATAATTTTGGGGTTTTTTTGCAAGCCTGGCTACTTCAAAAATGACGTCCATCGGAGCTTGTTTTCCAGCTGGGGGTATGTGTGAAGGACTGGGGGAAAATAGTGACAATGCGAATTCAATTTAAAAAGCTACAACAACAAAAGACATTTTCAAAGCACATGAAAAATTCTGAGAAACTTTTGTGCAGTAGTTGTAACTGACTTTGGGCGTAGGTAGTACAGGAGACTTTTGTAGGCGATGTCTCACTGGAGTTCCTAGAGATCTGTGGAATGCTGAGTAGTTACTTTGGTTGCACTAGCAGTTGCATGAAAGGGGAAGGTGTTCAAATTGGTATTTTCCTTGAATTTGATGCTTCTGAAATCTAATCAGCAGGTATCATTGGGTGAAGGGGGCCTGGAAGAATTGAGACAAACAAATTCAGAAAACTTGGGTTCTGCCCTGTTAATATTCCTTGATTTTTATGCC